CTAAAACTAACTCTAAACTGAAACTAAAATAAGATGACAAATTCTATTCTTTGAAACTTAAACAAAAGGATAATAAGAAATGGTCAGACCATTATCTGAAGGATTAAATAAAATTGTGCAACTTCATCAGTTCTGCAATCAAATTCCTATTTCCGATTGTATTTTCTTGACATTTGTCTGCAACTTTCCTTATTCTAACTCATAAATGCCTTTAAAAAAATTATTAGAAAGAGAATTTATGGAATTTCTCAAAATATAAAAAACCTTAAGGCTCCTGCTCTTTTAGTGAAGCTGACAGCCATTATTCAAGAAATGCTTATATTCAAAGTTAAAGCAATTCTTAAAATTGGTGTTTCCAAACAGAACCTTTAGGCATATTAGTGTCATGCAAATGGCCAGGAGGGAAGATTGGATGGAGGAGAGGACGAAAGAATGCCAGGGGACGGCTGGGAATTGAACCCGGGCCTCCTGATTACCGGTCAGGTGTGCTTCCATTACACCACCGAACCCAGGACATTCCCTCGTGCCTCTCACTGACATCCTTATCATGACATTAGGGTGAATTAAATTAACTGTTCTGGTGCTTAGGGAAGGCGCATCCATGTCTAGTGTTGGATGCCAATGTTAGTTTATGGAGGACATTATAATTTTAAGAACTTTCGGATGTAGTTTAACCTTAGTTTTAGCTTATCTTCAAGTAAATATAGTTTATCCCCAGATTAGAGAACTCTCATTGACTGAAGATGAACTGAAACTAGATCAGTTGCAGTTCATCTCTAGTCTCCAACTGCCCTCAAAAAAGTTTTACATATGATGATATATAAAACAACTAAATATGTAACTGGTTCAGTATAAGTCTTAGCATATATGACCAGCAATAGCAATCCTGATGTGAAATATATGATCCTTGAGTATTTTTTATATTGGCTTATACATTTGCACCATATATTTGTGCCACATCATACCTTATCCATGCACAAAGCCATACATGTCTATATGACAGCTTAGTTGATATGCAGTAGTAATTAATACTAAATTTTAATGTACCAATTGCATTGTACATGGATATTTACATACATGCTAACTCCAAAGCATTCTTCCAAGAAATTTGTGACAGTTCCTTGAGTGTGGCAACTTCTATGCCATGAGGCATGAGGAAATTGATTGGTGTCTTCCACCACCACTGATTTGCTGAGATTGTTGAATGCCCAGAATCAATGGCCAAGGGAGGATTTTTTCAGCTGTGGAATTGGGTCTCACACACAAGTGTCAGATTGAGTATGGGGGATGTTGAATGAACTCCTACCCTTATCCTACAAGGAGCATACACAAAGAATTTGTGAAATGGCATCATGATTTCATTGTATGTTGGTACCCTGAATTTTGGATGATGCTTCTAAATGTTAGAATGCAGTTTCCTGAATGGGAATCCTGCCCAAGAAACATGGTCTGGCCATTTGACATCACCCAGGATGCCATGCTTAGAGCACCATCATTCTTCATGAAAGCACATGATATCATTTCATACTTACTGTGAATGCACTCCTTCCATTTATGGGCTGAGAGGTCATTGAATATCTTACATACTTATCCAATCTGAAACCTTTTGACTTTCATTGAATTCCAAGCTGAAAGAACTCCTTTGTTGCCATCAATTCTGAGCACTCCCTTCATCCTGCTTCATTGCATAGTGTAGCTGTATGTAGCACTTAGAGTCCCATCCCCTTCCACAGGAAGAAGTGAAACTCCTGAGATGGGAACAGCAAATTCATAAGCACAATATAACACCAGAATCCTCAAAATGCTCCTGCCATATTGCCTTCATTGCTGAGAATATGTCTCATAAAATTGAAAGTCAAAGGCATAAGCTTTGCTTTGGGATCCTTGTGAAGCATTCATACTGTTATAAGTCCTATTCAGCAGTGTCCAAGGCTGCCTTGAAGGTAGATGCCTGAGAACTAGACCCTCAAGGCAATGCAAATTTTTTTTTTCTGTGAAACATCAATGAATGAAGAGACCTTGGACTTCAGAGTAAGCTACTAAGATTTCAGCCTGTGTCTGAAAGACAATGAGGAAAGGTGCTGAAGTCATCACATCATTGGGAGTTCCATTTCTTATATCCCTCAGTACTATTCTTAGCCAGTATATTAAGTTGAAATTTGCCGCTCTTCATCATTCAGTCCTAATTCAATGAATGATACAGTGACTGTGCAACTATGTATAATTTCCTTTAGAATCGGTATAGTAAAAATAGTGTGCAAATGTGCCAATGATGATTTTCCACGAAAGTGTTGCATGAGAAGTTTCCAATTTCTGATTACTTCATTTGGGAACCAATTGGAACTATTAGGTTACCTGGCTATTAACCATCATTTTAGGAATAATTCCCAATGAGGAGGAAACTTCTCTTTCAGGAATAGGGGAGGATAAAAGTTCTTTCCACAATCTCCACATCTTATCTCCCATGGTTTTTTTTTTCTTATATATTTCCTGCCTATCTGTTCTCCCTCAACATCTCCCTTTTTATATTTCTTTTTCCTTATTTCCCCAGTTCAAAAAGGAAATCCTTCACTAGCAAATCTAACAGCATTCATTGATTTCTTTTGTCACTGTTAGCAACAATTTTATTCATGAGGTCAGAGGCAGTACCCTTTTATCCCTTTGGTGTAGATTCTTTCCTCTGTTCAGAATGTAATGTTGCTGCCTTTTGTTTTGTGATGCTCTAAGATAAACCATAAGCAGAGAGGGGGAGATAAGAGGGCTGAATCATGAAAAAGAGAGAGATTTTGTTGAAGACAGAAAGGCTGGATGTAGATGACTTCATTAACTGGTTAGGAAAGATAGGTTGGTTGTCAAGTTAAATGTTTGGATTTCTTGATGTAAAATTTCTTTCTGGCCTGCTAGAAGAAAAAGGAGAAAGAAGAAAATTAAAGGACAGCAGACTGTACTTCTTGTTCCATCACTGGCCTCTCAGCTTAGTTGGGCAAAGGGCAACAGCAGGAAAGGAATAATAGGCTGTGCTATAAAGTACAGGTTACCTGGTTCAGTTTGACACCTTTGACAGGTGACTCAAATGCCCCCAGATTGAAATCCAGTAGAATATATTTAGGGTGTTGGTGACAACTTATTCCTAACTTTCAACTTGCCCTCAATATTGACCGCTTTAACTGTGCATAAAGAGCATGTCATATGTAAGAGTCATATTTTGGTCTCAGAATGTGGTTATTAGGATTTTGTTTGTGTATGTGCTACATACACTAGATCCTGCCAGGACCTTGAATCAGGTCTTTTAGGGGTTGGGTTTTTGTTTCAGAAATAGTATTTATGATGAAAATCTTCCATTAAGTCTTGTTTGCTAGATGTCACCATGTTTGTTTCAATAATAGCTTCATAGTGCCACATCCCTTGTAGAGGGATGGAAAAGCAGGCTAAGGTGCAATATCCCAGGCCAACGGAACTTAATTTTTTAAATACAATTTCTGCTTCATCTGATTGCTATGGTCATGTATTGGAGTGAATCGCTACCAAATTTATGAAATAGCAGGTATAGAGGGAGCAAGAATGATATTAAGATGTTGCAATATTGGTCAATCGTAGTATGCACAGAGCACCATGTTACCATAGAAAACAGCTCGCACGCACATGGCTCAAGTGGAGAAGTGGAGTGTTGTGTAAGAAGGGCCTAGTCTTTGCATCGGCGCATTTCCTAGAGCCCAAGGATTTCCCTATCAGTTCAGTGTCAAAGGCCAAAGAGTGAGAAAGTCAACCTATTTTGGAGGATGGTGGGTCAGTTGGGTTAGAAAAGGGTCGCTGCCTTTGGCCACGATTATTTCTTACTTTTGGTCCAACATAGAAGGAATGCGGCTCCCCAGATATGTGTTTATCGCTAGTTCTCTGAGGTTAGAATGTGCTTGGATTTAGTGAAAATCCAAAAGAGCTAATGAAAACGTTAGTCAAAGTATTGAGCCCCTAAGTGATTCCATGAATTACGGATTCACCTAGGGGCTTGATACTTTGACTTTGGAGCAGTGTGAGCATTCTCAGTTAAACAGGAAACATTCACATAGTTATATCAGATTATACTGACCTATAGCAAAATCTGGTAATGTTTTGTAATGGCCCAAGACCTGCTCTTTCATGTGTGATACGATTCAATTCAAAGTAACAAGTTGCATTGGCCTGGCCTGGGCATGGACTTGTTTGAAAATTTAGTTTGGAGAAGCAGTACCAGAGATGTAACTTTGTATGAGTGTGCATATGCATGAGATATCAGAGTAAAGGTGTGCAATGGTTGAAACCGGAGCAACCCCTACGGATTTTGTTTACCTTTGCTGTGTTTGCAGTCAATTGCGTGACAAGCGTAAAAAAAAATTGCGTTGAAGTTGAGCTTAGCTGTTGGTATGCTTTTCTTTACATTCCACAGATTTTCACTTCCCAGTTTCACCAGCCTGAGACTTTCACTGTAGTTCAGGGACATATTTGTTCTTTTATTTTGCAGGACTCCATTCTTTCTTGTAGTAGTTTGTGTTGTATATTAAAGAGAATCTGTGTGAAACCCTTTCTGCATGGAAATCCTTGCCCACTGGGTAATTCTTCATGGAGCATAGCAAACCTCCTCAAAAGGATTTATTTTCCTTTAGTGCCCCTTTGTGCTTCTAGTACTACAGTTAATGTCAGAATATCACAGCCACATATGGAGAGGTGGTTTTCCACCTAATTTCTCAGTTGAGGGGTTCTTTATCCTGTTACAAAAATCAAATTTGTCCAAAATTCAATAAATGACGTGTGACTTTACCGCATGTCATGCAAGTGTTTTGTACAACTACTTGCAAGTGTCAGATGTGATATGAAGATGGTATTTAAAAGAAAAGGCTAACTGTGATTGGGCTCATTATGCCCTTGAAAAGGAAACCTTGCAAATTCTGTTAGTCATAGTTTAATTCCAGAAAATTTAGTTACCTTACTCCATACTAGGGTGCTGTGTTCTAATTGCGTTTTTTTTTTCAGGTTCCTTAACATTTGTTGGTCCTGGCCACTCCTTGACAGATTTAATTGTATCCATCCAATTTCGTGCTGAGAAACAAAATGCCTTTTCCATTGTCTCCTGTTGATGCGATCCTGCAACAAGCATCATTGAAGGTGGGATTATGCACATGTCAATGTTTATTCATGTGGTTCTGTCAGGTACTCACTTCATGTCTGCTTCTCAACACAGCCATTTCCTCGCAATTCCATAGGGTGGGAATTTGGCTCAGAATGCCCATAAACATTTTCTTGAATTTCTTGACTAAGAATAAAAATCTGCACCTAAAAATGTGAAAATTAAACCTACATACAAAGTGATAGATCTACTAATGGCCACTAGATTCAGTTATGACTTGCAAGTGGTAGAAGCATCGAGTGTCCATTCTATGACTTTTTAAAATAGATCTTTATGCAAAGAATTTCAATAAATGATTGTATCTTGCTAGTGGAGGTTAGAGATGGGCCTCAATTATGAGATCTTGATATGAGGGAAGAAGTCTTCAAACTAAAAGCCATCAGGATGAAGCCTTTGACATAAGACATGAAATGCCTATCTTACCAGCTGCTAATTACTGGTTGGTTTTGCCATTATTGTCTGGACGTGATACCAGCCAGGAACCAATGGTGGTCTTACAAATCACTTGCCCTCTTGCTGTGTGGCAATTTCAAAGCATTTTGGAAGACCTAGATATGGAGTTTTGGCTGTCTTCCACTGTTTCAAATTCATACGTATTTGAAATTTTCAGAACAGATTTTGAAAGAAAATTGGAATAGTGATCTCAATTTTGACTGTATTTACAGTGATTCTAAAGTGGTAAAAGTTGCTCAATTATACGTTTCTTTTCATCCCCAAACATATGCTGTTAATAATATCAGCTAATCAATTGATATTGTATGAAACTTCATGGTGCATGTAATTGTGTATGAAAACTAAAGGGTTCCTCACATTTTGGTGACTTAGCTTTTGGATTAGATGATTGAGCCAAAATATAATAAATATACCTTTGCTCTTGAGTACAAAGTGTTGAAGTGATAACAAAAGATACAGATTTACTGGACTTCTGTCCTCAGATACTGTTCTGTATTGTAGATTCATGTAATGCATCTGCCATAGAAGAACTTCATTTTTATCATTTGTCATCAGTTCTTTTTTACACTCTTTGTAGAAAAAAGCTCCCATACCCTTGCTTCCCTAATGTGGGAATACTTACATTAGACTTCTAGCAGTTTTCTAGTGTAAATTCCTGGTAACTGACCTTGTATATCTGTACATCTATCAAAAGCAATATCCCACTTCATGGCTTTACTTTTTTTTACTTTACTTTACTTAATGGGTCTTTTTTTGTTCATTTTGTCCATGACCTTAAAAGTAATTTACCTTTAAACATTTGGTATGTCTCCTTTATGTCCTGCCTGTTTCATCATGCAGATTTTTCCATTTAAACTAGATGATTCATTCAATGCTTTTGGCCTCGTCATTTTAACTTTTGACCTGTAGATTCCACATAGCCTATGTTCAAGAATTGGAAGGTGCACATGCGAACAGGCTAACCTCTTGGTACCTAACCTATGATTATGATTAATTTCTCCACTTTAGTACAAGAATCCAGATAGGATGAAACGGGATGTGAAAGCAGCACTAGAGCATTATCAAGGTCTAAAGTTGAAGTTTGAAGATTTTGGTGAGTTCCATCTTGACTATCCATAAGTGAAAATGCTGGACTGGGCTGAAAACACAGACTTCAGGGTCTTGAATCCCTTAATGTAACATCTGATGCACCTACTGATTTTAACTCTTCAGTTACTTGTGTTTCAGTACAGTCCTGGAGCATGGATATGATTTTCATGTCTCATTTTTAAACTTTCTTTCCAGTCTTCAACAATGGGACAACAATGAAGCTGTTGAACCTTGATGGTGTCATTCCTGTGACTTTTAACAGTGAGTCCTCCATTTCACGATATCCAAATTGAGGGACAAAAGAAATCACTTCATTAGGCTTGCATTCATTCCATGCAGTCAATTTTGTCCCTTTTCCTTTCTTTAGTTACACACTTATATGACTCAAGTCATTTTTACATGAGGTGTCTCTCAACCTCTATATTTCGCTGTAGCCAAATTTAGTGGCTTTTGTAAAAAAAAAAAAAAAAAAAAAAGTCATGATGATGCCTTTCTCCAAAGTGACCCTTCTCCAAAAGTTTCTCTGGGTTACTTTTTTCAATGATCTTTTGTCTCAGGTCTGTCTAATGTTGAGAATAATCCCTACTGAATCTTTCTTTGAACCATACTTCATTGCTTTTTGGATATTGTTGTGAGCCAAAAACCAAGCAAGATTTGTTTGTGGCCTTTTATTGTGTATTTGGCCACAGCCAGATGAATCATAATCCATTGTATAAGTCAGCAAAGAAAATTTTATCTCATCATGATGCCATAGAGCCAGTATCTTAAATACTTAAAGATGCATATGAAAAGCAAAATTCAATTTGCTGCAGCAGTTCTCATAATTACCATTGAGCATATAGAATCATATCATACACATGTTCAAGCAGAAGAATCTACCTGAGGATTGTAGCAAACTGAATACAGTTCATGAGAATAGATGCTGTATGGAAAGCCTCTTGGCTCATTCTCATTCCATTTTCCTCTAGTGACTTCCTTCATGAATCAGGTAATGAGGAAAACTGAGATTCTTTTATTGACATTACTCATGATTCTGGGCTGTCAATACCAGTATTCTTCAGCCAACTTTTCTGCTCCTTGCAATTGAGCAATAGCAAAATTTTTTTCGATTGATAGGTAACAATCTGCTGGTCTCTCATCTCTATTCTAGCACATAGTTTTAAAAATATTATCAGTATTTTATTATTTGGGAATTCGAAACTTCAGTCTTGTCAAAGGCCAATTGAAGCCAGGTCTCCTTGTCTTCATGAAATACTAATTGTATTTAATGTCTTCATTGATGGAAAATTACAAATCAACTAAATAGGAAAGGATATTTTTCCTGTCGCGTTGATTTATGGTGCATGAGGACTTGTTTTTGTTTGGACTATTTTTTGCCAACTACATCCTGGGTAAGGCTAATGTCTACATCATTTGTTTCTTGGCACTGTAGATGTGAGATACAACATTCCAGTCATCATTTGGCTGCTAGACACCCATCCTAACAATCCGCCGATGTGCTTTGTGAAACCAACTTCTGACATGCATATCAAGCCATCGCGTCATGTGGACCTGAATGGAAAGATATATTTACCTTTCCTCCATGACTGGAATCCGGTATGTCCCTTTTTTTACATTGAATACTTGGCACTGTGTTTTGTCTCAGTACATTATGGAACTGAAAAAGTCTTGCCCTGATAATTCTGTTTGAACATTTTTCTTATTCTCATTTTTGTCTTTTGACAAAAGTAATTATTTTATGGTAGGCATGTGCCCTATAAAGAGCAAGCTGCCATGTTTACCATTCACAAGAGGGCATTTTTTCTAATAGGATTGTGCATTGGGTTTGCATTGGAAATTGGAATTGAATTGGAGACATAAAAAATATTGCATTTGAGACTCTGGTATAGTCAGAATAGACATGGTAGACTATGTAGGCTTTCCAATATGGCCAGTCAGCAGCAAGAACAGGAAGGTCTTCCTTGGAGGTTGAATACAAATTTATTGGCAAACTTGTTGTTCCATTTGAGGCACTGACATCCATGGGCAACCATAGCCACAGCAAGGAGTAACATTCTATACAGGGAATGCATAAGATGAGGACATTTACTTGATGCATTCTTGTAAATGGAGATGGGTTGTTTGACCAAGAGCATTTGGACGTTGTACCCAGTGTGAAAACTGATGTCATCAAGTGTAAATTGTGCCTTCTTGGTGATTATACATCATCGCATGGTAGGGACCATATAAGCTCAGAGACATCTTGGAGAAGTAAGAAAAACAGGTGTACCTGAACAACATGGCCCTTTTGGCACTTCCTGACCAGGTGTGAGAAGCCCGAAAATTGCTTTCCATTTGGAAGGATGTTTGCTCTTCAACCATTTGTTTTGAGTTGATGCAGCTTTCAATTGGTTCATGCCTTGGACTGATCCAAAAATTGTGATTTTGAGCCAGAAAACTTATTTTTCTTTTGTACTTTTGAGATGGATCCATATGGGTCCATAAATGCTCCAATCCTGAAGAATGCCTTTCACTTTAATTGTCTTTAATTTGCTCATAAAGAAGCACCTGTGTTTTTTGCATAGCCTGTGTAATTGGGCATTATCTTTCTGACTGTTGAATATAGCCTGGTTACTAATAGTGATTGACCAAAATCTTAGTAATAACTTGTAGTGCTTGGTAAGTATAACTTAAGAAATAGGGATTGGAATTCCACTTGGAATAGTACAAGTTGATGTGCTTTCTTCTCTTATCCAGAGCATGTCAGATCTTTTTGGCTTGATTCAAGTGATGATTGTGGTGTTTGGAGAAGAGCCTCCTGTATACAGCAAACCGAAGTCCAGTCAACCTACTCAGCCTCAACCACCTGTTGCTGGGCTGCCTTATCCAAATTCTACTCCAGGTAGACATGGCATTTAGGCCATCTTTTCCCATAACTTGGTCATCTCTGATGTTTCCTAATATTCACAGGAATCCAACACAACACAACTAAATATCTGTAAGGATGAAACTAGTCATGTAATAATTAGGGCTGTCACGATAGCAGTTTTCAAAACATCGATGCATCGACCTAAACTATCGATAGTGTATCGATGCATCGGGGGGGGGNGGGGGGGGGGGGGGGGGGGGGGGGGGGGGGGGGGGGGGGGGGGCCGGAGGATTCCATCTGTGGGCTTAGCGGCGAACCTCACCAAGGAGTGGAGGAGGAGCCACCCCCTACCGGACACCTCCCACTCCATGAGACCTCCCCCGGACCGGGACAAGGGGGTGGAGGCGAGACTAGATGGTGGACGAGACACAGAGTGGATGTGATCGTGTGACTTTGTATAACGGTGTGTATTGTATGTCTGGATTGTATAGGGACCTGTAAATTATTCCCGTCGACCTCGACTTATCAACTTCCCTCCTGCCTGGTGCCTGTAGTCAGTCCGTATATAACAGTACGAGTGAGTTGTATGCATTCAATATATCCATTGTTATTGTTGCTGAACAGCCTAGTCCTTCCTAATCTCGCCGGTACTTATCTAATTGGAGTCAGTCCGTATATTACAGCGCCCTCTTACGTACACGGAGAACACGCGATCCCATTCGGCGGCCTCGCCCACACATTTTTTCTCGCCGCGATCGGATGGCGGACCTCTATACGGCTTCCATAATCTCACGCTTGTGATCGGGGGTGCAAGGGGAATGTGTGATCTTCGCAAAGAGTAATGAAACCTACCATGCCTCCAACTATCGAAGATGACATCCGTTCGTTGATGGATGCATCAAGCGCCCTAATTTTCTTCGTTCTACACTGTCTTTGGACATCGGCACCGGCAGATAGGAAACCTGCTGATGGTGCCATACCGGCGGTTGCCGAAACAGCCCTAGAATAAGCAACGTCCATGTAAAAAGATTCACTTTGATTTTACCTTAAGTAGAGATAAAACGCCCCAAGGCAAGTTAAAAATTAAAAAAGTTAAGCCTGCATACTAAAGTGAACGACGGGAATATAGAGAGGAGATAAACCAATGTACGTTTCGAATTGAAGGGAGTATAACAGTCCACTTCCGCAGCATGCACCTCATGCGATCGAGCCGGAGACTGAAACCGACAAAAAAAAAATATTCTTGGGCTTCCCCCCCTCTCCTTTCCCAATTCCTGTCTCCGATCCGACTTTTTTTTTCCCTTCCCGTCTTTCATATAGTCAGTCCCAGCCTTTCCAGAATTTGATTGTGATAAGAAATTGCTCTCCTATGCGGGTCACGCCGCTTCTTCCTTTTCCCCCCCGGACTGATTGTATCGTACAGTACTCGCCTCAATCCAATGGGACATTTCCCCTTTAAAATATTTTGCCGATGCATCGCGATGGTCGAAAAAACTATCGATGCATCGATCTATCGTGACAGCCCTAGTAATAATATACCTTATATTTAACCTGACTAGTACCTATGTTGCTGATTTGGCAGCAACTTGCATGCAGAAAAAAAAAAGTTTTTAGTTTAAAAAAAAAAGTTTATTCCCTGAGAAGAATTTGTTTGCAACACAGTGCACTTGAGTAGACTTCACAGGATCACCATTGAACATTGTTGAACAGTCTCTTGAACTTTTGCACTTGATGGTGAGACCTTTCCTTTAAATTCCTTTCATATAACATATAACTACTCCATGGATGGATTCAGCACCTCCTCAGTCTTTGGTGTATGATGTTGAGCTTCAGTTGGTAATTCTGTGCTTTGATAAGTTTCTGCTGCTTGAGGTTGATACTAATCTATGTAAAAATAAAAAATAATGACTGCAAAAGACATTTCATGTTCACAGGGAACAATAAACTTTCTAGTTTTTATAGCTTAGATCTTCATATGGCCCTGTGAGGTTGTAGAATTGCATATAATTTAAGAATCACTGTGGATTGAATTCTTGTATCTTAATATACCCCTTCACTGCAGAAGCAAGTAACAATAAATTCCTGGAAGAGATTTTTAAGAAGGCATATGTTTAAAAGGAATATGTTTAAAACCTCATGTGTTTTAGGAGAAATTGTGTATTCTGCATTATCATAATTTCGCATGGGGCGGTTGGCAATTTTAATGGGTGCTAAATAATCACATTGACATGCCTACACAACTGAAGTTAAGATTTTTATTGTTTAGGTGAATGAATTTTGATTAAAGTTGCAGAAATGTGTGCTAACTGGATATATTGTAAGGAGATACTTTGGGGACTGTGCTGGAGTCAGGACCTACCTTTTGAATTCTTGGATGAATGGAAAATGAAGCTCATGTTGACCATTTTTGAGGGCATTATTAATTTTTATAATGTTTTTCTCCTTGGACCATATACATTATTATTATTGATCTTGCTTGTACCATTTCAGGATACTATCCTATGCCAGGAGTACCAGGACAAGGACTTGCATATCCACCTTATCCATCTGGAACTGCAGGAATTCCTCCCCCATACCCCTCCTTATTCCCCACCAGTCAGCCTCCAGCTTCTCAACCTACTTATCCTCCGTATCCAATTTCCAACCCATCCACATCTACCCCTTATCCAGTATCTACGCAGGCTCAGGCGACACCTGCTAGCCTTGTGAGTAATTTATTAGGCTTAAAGAAAATGCACTGCATTAGTGCAGTCATTCTCTACCATAATGTCATTTTGAACTGGGTCAAGTTTTGTAAAAGTTTTGTGAGCTTGCTGGACTGCTCTTGTCACATGTCTGATTCCATCTCCCTAGCCCTTTCCACAAAAATATGATTTGAGGTAACTTTCCTTGGATGACAAGCTGTGTAGATGAAAGGCAATCATCAGCTGAGGGCTGAGAAATTTATAGATTGCTCTTTATTGCAAAACATTATTTCCTTTTTTTCATTTCTCACTGGTTACTTGGCATTGACTACCCAGATGTTCATGAAAGCCTGGCACCAGTTCATGGACTGGCAATTGAGAAACTCTGCATTGATGAATGGGTATTAAGTGCTTGACCCAAGAATGAAAGCATAGAAACATTAAATGTATAATTTGTATAGATCCTGAGTCACTGATCTAATTTAAGGGGTAGGGGGGTAGGGACTAGTTGAAGGGTTATTTCACATTACTATCTCTGCATTGCACCATATCATTCAAAGTATCTATCACATATGTTTTTGGGAATTGATTCTGAACCCTTGAAAAGCTGAACTTCCATTTGCTCAAATCTCCCATGGAGCCCAGTTACAAGTTAATTTTTTGATAGCAATAATTGCAGAGACCTTATAATATTAATTTTATTGTTTTACATTGTCAAGTTAAATCTGGAGATTTCCAACATATGAGTGAAACTTTAGAACTGGTTTCTCTTTTTCTTTCTTGTCTAAAATACATAACACTAATTGCATTAATTGGAAAAATTAATTTTCATGTATAAAATGCAGAGACCCCTCATAAGGAAAAATAACTCTTGATGAGAGAGTTGTTTTTCCTTATGAGTATTGAACATTGAACATGTAACATTAACTTATAAGAAATGTTCAATATTTTGGTCTCATGAAAATGTTCATAATGCAGTGTTGTTGGTCTTGTAGCTCAAGTATCACTGTAAATGTTTGACTGGCTTATTTAGGTTCAATGTGATGAAACCTATTTTAAAGAATCACTTTCTCCCCCATAAGATCAACTGTATTTCTAGAACCTACCAATTTACATAAATATTGCAAACTGTTTATTTGAAACCAACGTAGATCATTACAAAAAATAAAACAAAAATCTGAGGCTTTGCACTTATACCCTTCATAAAGTCTTCCCAGAGAGTTAAATCATTCTCATCTTTGGAAATATACTTAGATAATGCTTAGATACTTAGATTGTAAGAAATATACTTGAAAAATGTCATTTTCTCTGATTAGATCAGATTAAACATGAGTTCTTTCAATGATTTCAGGAAAATGTCAAATTGAATTGAATCTCCTTTGAATGAAATTTTAAAATATTTTCCTTGTTTACCATTGTGAACTAATACAAACATTGCAGATCCTTCCTACATTTGAGGTTTTAATCTTGCACTTCTCCACTAGTTTCTGTAGAATGAAATCTGTAAATGAAAATGCTCAGTTTGGCTTTAGCATGGACATTAAGTTTATAGGAGGTTCAGGAAGACTAGTCTGTATCTTGGGTTTCATGATATAGTCCAGCTTTCTTCTGCTCTCTTGGCATGTCTGAAGTCTCTTCAACAAATTAAAATTGTATATAGATTCATGCACCTTTTCACAAGGCAGTGCCTTTTCTTCTTGCTTGTTTTAACCTTTTTCTCCCCCCTTTTGTACAGGGAATGAATGCCGGAAATACAGGTACCATCAAAGAAGCCCATATCAAGGCATCCCTTCTATCTGCTGTGGAGGAGAAAGTCATGAGGAGGGTGGCTCAAATAGAAGCACAGTATCAAGATGAAATGAAGGTTCTTCATCAGACTCAGATGGACCTGAATAATGGCAAAACAAAGCTTGAAGAGCTCATGAAGAGACTGGAGTTTGAAGAGGTAGGTGCCTGATGGCAATTTCCTCATACTGTACTTAGCCCTTTCAGACCTGGCTTCCATTTCAATGGATATTGCATTTTCTTTGTGTCTGTGGTAATTTCTTGGGATTCTTGTGACTTTGCACTACAATGGGCACATTATGCATGGTTCAATTCCATCTGAAGCCTTCTTTCACCCGTTGGTTTTGTAATCTTCTGGTATGAAATTAAATATGTATTATATATATGATATGGTAAATTTATACAAAGTATAAGAACAATATATAAAACATAACAATTTCAGTTACAATAGCGAAAGAGTTCAAAAATGCTAAGAAATATATTATTCTGATAGTGGCCTTAATTCATGTCTGAAAGGGTTAATGTGATGGAAGTTCTCTGTTACACCACATGAGGGATAGTGGCTATTGTTCCTAGTAATCTTGCTCCTTTTTATAATGTATCCATGTAAATTGGAATTTCACATAGCCTTTTCAGAAAGAGATAATAATGTGTTGGTCTCCATCTAAGATCATTCATGTATCTCCTGAGGACTATCTCCTAAATTAAAGTAATTGCCTAATGAAAAAGGAGGCTAGTAATTCTGGAACCAGCTTCAGGAAAAGTAGCCACGATTATGCGCTGGGACACCTTTTTGGAAAATTTAGCTGGTTTGGAATCTTCCCATCTGATCAGTCCCCTCCCTCCCTTGCATCTCGGAATGTAGAGTCTTTCAACAGCAGCCTTCAGATGGTGGGTGTGATGCATGGTCAGGAGTTTTCTAGTCGCTCGCTCAATGGCCTGGAGTTCTGTAGGTGACCATTCAATAACTCGGAAGCTGTAGTTGAGGACGGGTGGCAAGGCTATTGAGGGCAGAGATTTTATTTTTGCCAGACAGCTTGGTCTTTAGTACAAGGTGGACTCTGCGTTTGTATTCTGTGGTCAGTCTCTGCTTCCTGTGCTTGACAGCCATGGAGGAGTTCTCTTCCACATCAAGATATTAGGTTGGTGCAAAAATAATTGTGGTTTTTAACCATCAACTTTAAAACAGTATATCTCAGCTTAGAATAAAATTTATTAATCGAAATAAGAACATTAGAATCTATGCATTTTTGCCAACAAGAAACAAGTCCGGTAGCATAGAATTCTGGAGTCCTGGAACCGATGAATTCTTCGAAGGCGTTTTGAGCTGCTGCTTGGTTGTTAAAAACCTTCTCTTGCAGGAAGTTGTCGAGATGCTTGAAAAAATGGTAGTCGGTCAGAGAGAGGTCTGGTGAGTAAGCTGAGTGAGGTAGAGTTTCGTAGCCCAATTCGTTCAATTTCTGCAGAGTCATTTGCGAGACATGTGGTCGGGCGTTGTCATGGAGAAGAATTGGTCCTTTTTGATTGACCAATGTTGGACATAAACGTTGCAGTTCTTGGTGCATTTTGTCGATTTCCTGGCAATACTTCTCTGCTTCACCAGGTTTCACCAGGATTCAAGAAGTTGTAGTGGATGATTCCACTTGCTGACCACCAAACAATGACCATAACCTTCTTTTGATGCAGCTTCGGTTTGGGGAAGTGTTTTGGTGCTTCACCTCGATTCAGCCACTGCGCGGAACGCCGTCGGTTGTCGTATAGAATCCATTTTTCGTCACATGTCACAATGCGATCAAGAAATGGATCATTTTTGTTGCGCAAAAGAAGCGCAGAGCAGACTTTGTAATGGTGAATTTTTTATTTTCGTTCAGCTCGTGTGGCACCCATTTGTTGAGCTTTTTTGATTTTCCAATTGAGTGCAAATGTTGAACAACTGTTGAATGGTCAACGTTTAGTTCTTCTGCAATTTCTCGAGTTGTTTTGCGTGGGTCCACTTCAATAATGGCCCTCAATTGGTTGTCGTCAATCGCAGAAGGAAGTCCGTGACCCTCCTCATCTTCAAGGCTCTCGTCTCCATTACGAAATTTTTGGAACCAATGTTGAGCTGTACGTTCTTTGATGGTCCCCTGGCTAAATGCTTGGTTGATATTGCGAGTAGTTTCCGCTGCTTTACGTCCCATTTTGAACTCATACAATGAAATCGCTCGAATTTGCTTTTTTTCCATCTTTAATTTGACAGCCTAAAATAAACAAGAATAAACAGCGAAAACAAACCATTAGCATAAATCAGTACAGTGAATTTCACGCTTTAAAATGGTATATTACATGAACATAGTTAAATAAAAGTTTATTCCAAAATAAGCATCAAAGTTTAAAATAACAAAAACTGCAATTGTTTTTGCACCAACCTAATATTTATAGGTGTCAGGCAGTAAGCTCTCAGAGTTGTTTGTCATTGGTAGTGATGATATCTCCCATAGGGTTGGGGACTCCGCAGTGGATAGAGAACTTTGTGCACTTGTTGAGTCTGAATTTCATGCAGATATCTTTCGGGAAAATGCTGATGATGTTGAGAAGGCTTTCGAGCTGTTTCTCGTTGGAGGCGTATAGTTTCAGGTCGTCCATGTAGAGAAGGTGATTCATGCAATTGTCTGCATTCTTCCCTTTCCTACATAATAAGTAATAACCACAGTCAGTCTGAAATAGCTCGGTACTGAGTGGGTTGAGAGCCTGGCAAGAGGAGAGGAGACAGTGTGGCTCCCTGGAAGTTCCTGCATTTGATGGAAATCTCATGGGTTGTCAGGGTGGAGTCCTGTCCCTCGAGGGATATTACTGTCTTCCAACGAGGTATGGTCTGTCGGAGGAAGTTGACCACCACACAGTTGATATTGTACATCCTGAGGCACTCGATGATCCATGAGTGCACATATTTGCACACCTGGTCATGCCTGTGCAAGTACTCCCTCAGGGCTAGTTCAGGGCAGGCACTAAGGAGGTGGTGAACCATTTTGGGTGGTCCATGACAGCATCTGCAGCGGTCTTCCACATCCAGCTTCAGGATGTACTTCTCATAGTTATGAGTTCTGATGCACTGGTCCTGAATGGCTAGGATGTTGCTCTCTGTCTTGGCATTCAACAGTCCCTTCTTCAGCCAGTTATAGCTGAAGTTAAGTCGATCGATGGTTTATCCATGATCTTGGGATGCTGGCCGTGAAGTGGTTTCTCCTTCCATTGAGCCTCTCTTGGTATTTGGTCTGCCATCTTCACATCTGCTGTGTCGCAGTCATCATCAAGATGGAGTGCGTTTCAGAAGCAGGTGGCATCACCCTGGATGGAGTGGGATTTCTTTAAGGCATCACGCTCTCTCAGGATGGAAATGAGTCATCCCTGCTTCCTTTCAATGTATCTGGCGACATAGCATGTCGTCTGCTTATAGAGGGACTTGAGTTTGATCAGTCCCCTCCCTCCCTTGCATCTCGGAAGGTAGAGTCTTTCAACAGCAACCTTCAGATGGTGGGTGTGATACATTGTCAGGAGTTTTCTGGTCACTTAATCGATGGCCTGGAGTTCTGTAGGTTCTGAAGTCAATAACTCTGAAGCTGTAGTTGAGGACAGGGATGGCAAGGCTGTTGAGGGCAGAGATTTTTGCCAGACAGCTCAATCTTCAGTACAAGGCAGACTCTGCATTTGTATTCAGTTGTCAGTCTCTGCTTCGTACGCTTGACAGCCATGGTAGAGTTCTCTTCCACACTAAGGTATTTATAGGTGTCAGGGGCCATAAGCTCTCGGAGTTGTTCATTGTTGTGGTGGTGATATCTCCCAGAGGGGTGAGGATTCCACAATGGACAGAGTGCTTCGCACACTTGTTGAGTCTGAATTTCATGCAGAAGTCTTTCGAGAAGATGCTGATGACGTTGAGTAGGCTTTTGAGCTCTTTCTCGTTGGAGGTGTACTACTCTATCGGCTCTACTCAGCCATTGGTAGCTGAAGTTCTTGTCTATGCATGGCTTTTTTACTACTTTTGCATGCTGACCATGCAGAGGTTTATCATGCCAATGTTGGAGGAAGGTAGCTCGTTGGGTTTTCTTGAAGTCTTCAGGGTTGACGGAAGAGTTGGCTTTTACAAAATGGCGGGTTTCACTCAGCATTGTTCTTCAGCGACCCTTCTCGTCTAGGAAGCTCTGAAGGCTGGCCATTGAATGCTGGTAGAGACTCTATATTCAGGAGTCTCCTTCCACTGTCTCTCCTTTGGAGATACAGTCTCTTGATCGCAGCTTTTGGGTGGTGTTGCCAATGAACAGCTTCCTTGTTTTGCGGTCAAGATTTTGCAGCTTGGTGATGGTCCAATTTAGTATTCCGAAGCTGTAACTGAGGACGGGAATGGCAAAGGCATTTATTGCCATGATCTTATTCTTGCTGTTCAATTTGGTCTTTAACACCATTCTTACGTGTTTCTTGAATTCAGTAGAGAGTTTGACCTTAATCCCGTGATGAACAGTGGTGGCATTCTCCTCAAAGATACTTGTAAGTGCTCAGGGCATGGAGTTCATCAAATCTTTCTTGATTGGTGGTCATGATGGGGCCAGTTTCTACTGGCTTCCCTCTGTGAAGAGATAACTTTGCACATTTGTTGAGACCAAACCTCATTCTAATGTCCATGGAGAACATGTCCACAGTATTCAGGAGCCCCTCCAGCTGTTGGTCTCCTGAGGCAAACAGTTTGAGGTCATCCATAAATAGAAGATGGTTAACAAAGTGGTTCTCTGTCTTCTCCTTTCCTACATGGTACCCAACTCCACTGGAGTTGAGTAGCTCACTCAGTGGGTTGATGGCTATACAGAAGAGTAATGGCGAAAAGGAGTCGCCTTGAAAAATTCCACAGCAGATGTTGATCTCCCTTGTGATGAATTTGTCCTTTGCCCCTTGAAGAGTTGTTGTGGTCCTCCCTTGAAGAGTTGTTGTGGTCCTCCATGTTGGCATAATATGAGAGAGAAAGTGCACTACTCTCAGGCTGACCCTGTATAACTTCAAGTATTCAAGGATCCATGAGTGTGGGATGCAGTTGAAAGCCTTTTGTTAGTCTATCCAAGCAACCGAGAGGTTCTTTTTTCTTGATCTGGCATCTTCAAGGATCATCTGGTTGATTAGTAGCTGCTCCTTGCAACCATATGAACCTCTTGTGCAACCTTTCTGCTCCTTAGCCATGAGGTTGTTCCCTGTCAGGTGCTTGTCATGTTCTGCCAATATGGAAGTAAGCATCTTATATGTGGTTGGCAGACATGTGAGGGGATGGTAGTTCTTTGAATTATTTGTTTCTTTGGCTTTCTTGGGGGGAGCAGGTAGGTAGTGCCACTTGTCAGCCATGGTGGCAAGTTCTTTGGCTCTACCATGATGGCATTCAGTTCTCTGACTAGATCTTCATATAGGGCAGTAAAATACTTGAGCCAGAAGTTTGGCACTTGGTCTAAACCTGGTGACTTCCAGTTGCCGGTCTTTTTCAGTGCCACATTGAGATCCATTGTAGTGATGACAAAGTCTTCCTTTCAGTGGTGTTCTTTTGCTTTGATATATTGGGCATTTAACCGTTTGGCTTTTTCATTATGATGGATTTCCTGCTTGAAAATGGAAGCCCATTAATCCTCCACCAATTCCTGTGTGGGAATCTCTCCTGGTGATATAGAGGTCTCCTTCAGGCTCCTGTAGATGTTCTTACAGTTCTGCCTGAAATTCTCATTCTGACGCCACTGCAGGACTCGTTTGGTGTATCTTTGAATCCTTTGTGCCCAGACCATCACTCGCACCTTCAGCAACTCAATGATGGCATCTGTCTCTTCTGGTGACATGGCCTTATACTTTTCCTTTACTCTCTGAAGCTTCTGGCTAATCTTTTTCTGGCACACCTTCTGTAGCTGGAGGAGAAGGCTAATGTCTTGTCTTGCATCATCAATTTGTCATTT